AAAATTATTTTTGTTGCTACTTCATAACTGTAATTTTGCTACCGTTAGGAATTGTAATGTAAATATCTGATATGCAGGAGGGTCTTAGGCAACCCCTGTGAAAGGGTTGTTCGACCCCCAAAAGTGTCACAACCCACAGGTTAAGAACTGCTGGTCTAGAGAGTCACCTTGCCAACCATCACTTAATATCCAGCTAGTTTTGCTAAAAATTGCATTACTTAACATGATTTGCATGGCTTTTTTTGCTAAAGGCCAGGACACTCAAGCGGTGTCATTAATTTGAGGAGTTCACAGGCTTTCCTTTAGGACAGTTAGGCAATTGGGTCTTTTCATTATCCTTGGCCTGCTCAGAACTGTAATTCCTCCTGACCAGGAGTGAAGCAAGGCCTGGTTGCTGGGGCCATGCACCCGCCCAATGGCACCTACCCCTGCTTGCGCTGGTGTGCTGGGGTCCTCCCATCGCCTCTTCACCAGGTCTGGAAGGGAGAAATGATCTAGGCTTACTTTTACTATGTGTGTGAGTCTGTTCTCTCACAAGAGGTCTCCTCATTTAGAGGCAAGAGAAATTACATCTGGTTTCGTCTCTGGAACTTGAAAATTAGTCTTTCAAAAGAGCAATGCTAAAATAAATGCTTATTACTTTTGCAATGCACATCTCCAGTCTCAGGAACATATATATTTATATATTTTTTCATATTTATTCTGGGACACAGGTTGATCCTCATTAATCACAAACAGGCACTGTGGCCCCTCAATCAGCATCAAGTTAAAAAGCCCATCTCTGCTCTCCACAAGTTCTCCACAGCATTTTGAGTAAAGCTCATTGAGAGTTTTCAAGAACAGGTTCAAAAATCAACTAACAGCTATTGAGAGCTTCCATTTTACATTTGTAGTGCCGTTTAATCCTCACAGCAATCCCAGTTCATCTCTGGGGTGTGTGTTAATTTCTGGTTGTAGATGAAAAACGACCTCTTGAGCCATATGTCTCAGACTCAGAAATAGTGACAGAGCTATTCTTATTTATTACTCATTTGTTCCTTTATATATTTTTAGGCACAGAGTTGGTCCTGTCTCCAGTCTGGTCTTGAATTCTTGGCCTTAAGCAATCCTCCTGCCTCAACCCCCCAAAGTACTACAGTTAGAAGCAGGAGCCACCAGGGCCAGGCCAGAGGAGCTTTTTTAAAACCTGACTTTTTACCAAGCCACAGTCTCATTCTGTGAGCCATAATGACCCCTACAGGTCACGTCATGGTAATACAGGAACCAACAAGAGAAATTGGATGTGACCATGGAAGGAATTACCAGGCAGATAGAACCAATTCAAGCCAAACGACTGAGAACTTCTCCAAAGGATCCCAAAGATCTATGAAGGTATGCTAATGATTTCTGAGACGATTATCAGTGTCAGAGTTTAGAATATACCTTGATACAGTTCCTTTCTACAATATCCTACATAACAGAGCTCTCAGAGAAACTAAAAGCATTAACTATTTTATCACATGACATTGATTAATAAAAATATACAAAGCATTTTCCACTGTCCTCTGTGCAATAATTAGTACTGTTAAGGTAAAAATGATATTCTTTCTCACTTTGCTACCCACCAGTTCCATTTTCCCATAATAGTTGCAATTCAAACTTCCTCTTCTTAAGACAAATTTTGTTACCACACGATACACTGTGGTATAAGGGCACTTAATATGCAAATTGTTAACATAACTTAATATTATCTTCCCTCCTGTTGCTCTTCAATTTGGTATTGAACAGCTGAGGTTGGAGATTTTAATCAAAGAGAATTGAATGAGCCATTTATAAAATCAGATGAGAGCTTCATTCACTATTCATACCTATCAAATCACAGAATAGTCTTAGAAATACAGAACAGATTGCTACCCCTACAGCTTGACCATGTCTGAATGCTGACTTATTTTCAAGTGGTACAGTATTGTGGAAGGATGAAGCAGCAGCTTTAGCCCAATGTGTAACCCAGGGCAAGTTAGTTATCTCTTTAAATCTCATTTTCATCATGCAAAAAATAGAGATAATTGTGCTTCCCTCATGTGGTCGTAGAGAGGAGTAAACAAGATAAGCCATAATAAGTATTAGCAAAGTGCCTGGCACATTTAGCTCTTATTAAGATGATGAATTTGAGAGTTCATATTTAAACATTACTGTTGTTACATACTTTAAGGCAGAAATATTCTAAGAACTCTATTAACCATTATGCTTAGCTAAAACAATCAGAACAGAAGCCTGCTGAAGCATCATTCTCAGCTTAGCACAGAGACTCAACCAGATCAGGTAGCTGACTTCCCATGTGCCGCCTGCCTGGGGCAGACAGGCAAAATAGGTATTAATTGCAGTTATCACAGGCATGAGGGATGGGAAGAAGCTGGCTGGGCTCAGGAATAAGCTAAGGAAGGGCTCAATAGTTGCCAGTCAAGGCTGTATTAGGGTTGTAGAAGGAAGGCAGAGACTTGGGACAAGACAGGCAGTTGATCAGATATGAGAAGGTAGAAAATGATCTAGGCAGCAACAGCAATAGATCAAACCTAGAGAAAGAGAGCGGAGGTTCCACAACCTGGAAATATCAAGCAGGAATCAAGGCCTAGAAAACTCCCCAGATTCACCTTACTGAGAGCATTTGACTTGCACTGAATGCATTTAATATTGAACTTCCAAATAGCCCCACTGTTTATTAGAGAAAGCACATTTCTTTCAGACAGGTTTAGTCAAAGTGGGCCGGAGGTCATGTTATTCCCACCATAAACTTGAGGTCCACTCAATGGAGAGTGAGAAAACTAAGTCTTTCTAGGTGGAGCTCCCTGAGAGTATTCTGAGTCTGGTGGGTCTGGAAGGCTGGCCAGGGTAGAGCAGAATCACCCACCTTTCATTGGGCATCTTATCTCCACGTTGCTGCAACTCCTGAGAGAAACAGGAATGAATCTTCTCCAAAGGAGCATTAGCAAACTGATGATCTGGGTGATAAAACAGGCCTAGCCAGCTATCTATACCAACTCCAAACACCTGAGCATCATTTTCTAAAATTATGACTTGTACATTTCACCTACCTGATACACTGGAGACTTGAGAGCATCCCAATATCTTCATTTCACGTTTTATTTTGCACATTTAGCACCACATCATTATCATTGTCGATATTTTAATCATTATTATAATCAATAACTTCTATTAGAATTCTGGGCAGGGTTTGCTTGCTTTCTGACAGTAAATTCCAATAATGCTTTTGAAAATCTGCTTTGATCTCGCTTTTTGTGGGCAAGCAGGGGTGAGGCAGACTGCCACACCCTGAATAGAGCTGAAAGGTGGGGATAGGGTGGGGCTGCAGGATGCCACTCCCAGTTTAGGCTGACAAACCTCGTGGGAAACCAAATTGGTAGGGACATGAAGAAAAGAAATCCTGACTAGAAAACATCAGGGGACCTGGAGGCGAGGCTGCATCAAATGAGGCAGAACTGTCAGTGAAGCTGAGCAAAGATATAAATGACCCGGATGACCCATGAGCTGGGAAGAACACGCACTCACCAGCAAAGCGCTTGAGGCGCCAGGATGAAGGTGGAGCAGCATAAATGAAAAGCAAACATATGTCCTTCTACGTTTAAATCAAACCAAAATTTAAGCACCACAAACAACATCAAAATCATTAGACATCACTGACCTCAACAGTGGTTGACAATTGTTCTAAATTGGGGCTTTGAGAAGGTACAAAGGCAGGAAGTCCGAACCTGGAACTCACTAAGGGATGTCTAACATTGAGCTTCCATCACCGAAATCAAATCTTCAGAGTCATTTAATTTTCGCTTTCTATTGACATTTGCAGCAGAGGCTTCCTAAACACTCAATTTTCACTTTACTTTGTACTCACCAATCACAGCATATATGCAAAGCCAGAGCCCTGGCGTTTTCCAGTGTGGTTCACGAGCGCCCTCTAGTGATAGTGACGTCAGTTAGGACGAGCCCTTTCCCCCCGCAATTGTCTTGAGAACTCTAAGCTCACTATATCTACTGTCAATTAAAAATAGATCTTCTACTGCCCATGTTAACTTCTTCCCTCCCTTTACAATCCCATATTTAGAAACAATAATTCATGAAACAATATGCGATGCAATCCTCTGAAAACATTGGAAAGTGACTTCTGCTTGATCCCAATGTGAATACATTGTTTTCAGTGCTGGGAAACATTGTTACCACTGAACAAACATAATAACCAAGTGGTGAAGGAAGGTATTTTGAAAATAATATGCTTATAAATTAGTTTCTTTTCTCTTCCCAACTTGCAGCATTTCAGTGACTGGTTATAAATGATAGCAATGGTTAAATCCATAAAACTCTAGTTTATAAGTTTCTGATCTTTGATTTCTTCCCTGTGTTTTTTTTAAATAAAGACTTTAAGCAGATTTTCTCTATTTCTGAATCATATACCCCAGAGCTCTTAATTCTATGAGTCAACTGGGGGCCGTAGGCATGGTCTGCTTACCTATTACATTTTCTTATTGTTTCCTTAAGAATATGGATTTCTTGCCTTTCCAGAAGAAAGCAAGCCATATTTTGCAACGAACTCCCTGTATGCCACATAGCAACACGCTTCCAGGAGCCCAGCATGCTGCCTTCTAGGTGAGGCCCGTGTTCCCCACAGGTATAACTCAGCACACCTGTCACGAGGGTTACCTCCCCAGTCTGGCCCTGTAGGCAAACGACCCCTGAGTTTGGACTGCTTTCAATTCTGACTGTAAAAGTTCTCTTTCTAGTTATTACAACCAAGCCAATCTTTCTTCTATCAGCCAGAGGTTACAAACTAAAAACAAAACAAAGCAAGCAAGCAACACAATAACAACAACAACAACAAATCCTGATAAAAGAAAAAATAATTTCCTCCTTTACTAGAGGAAAGAATTCACAAACGAGTTTGGGTTGACTTGAAATGCAATCCATTTTCTCCAGACTTCATAAAACTCACTTTGTGTTTATGAATTGTGTCTGTTTTGAGGTGACAAAATCCTCACCATGGGTTCCCATGTAGCGACTAAGCAAAGTAGATTCTCACTGTCACAAACCATGTGCTCACATCCCAGAATTTCCCTCTCAGAACACAAACCCAAGTTATTAGCAGAAGCGGCAAGTCAGGCCAGGAAAACGGAAATGTGACACTCACGGGTGTGCTGCTGTCGGAGAACGTGTTCATGCTCACGGAGCTGCTCAGCTTGTCTGAGGAGACGGATGGCGGGGACGGGCTCCTCTTCTCCAGGGGGTCCTGCCGCTGCAGGTATTCGCGCCATGCCCTCTGAATGCTAGAAACAAAAAGACAAAACCCAGCACACACGCTGTCACTCTGGGGTCACAGCCCATGGACTCAGAAAAGCAGTGGGAGCCTGCAGGGAAGTGTAACACGTAGAATGTGATGCAGGAAATCAGAAAACTGAACTGTCTCCCCATATTACTATTGTCGTTTGACTTTCACAGACACGACTGGTCTACATCAGCCTAAAAAAGTCAACTCAGTCAGAAAAAGTCATCGAAGTTGAACTAGTTTGCACATGTAAATGTTGTTTGATTTATGAAACACAAATCTTTCAATTTTTCATCTTATACACATATTTCTAATGAGAATACTAAATGGCCTGACTTATTCACCCCTCAGTACATCATTGATAAGGTGTCACTCTGTGCCAGCATCACCCCTAGGCCCTGGATGGGGACTCTGTCATTTGTGCAGAGCTCTGGGGTGCCAGTGGCCCAGACCTCAAGGTGAAGGGTGTCAAAATGGACAGATGATTATTCTGTGGCTACTTAAGATTTCACCCAAGGAAGTTCTTTATTTCCTGTGATTAGTATCAGAAAACAATCTTATACTTTGGATATTAGAACCCTCTTACTTAGCATAAGCTAAGTCATTTCCTCCCTCAGAGTTGGTTCCAGTCTTTGAGATTAACATCTAGGTTTACACCAGTGGTCAGTGAACACACCTAACCTCAGCTGGACGTGCAGACCAACTGTCAGGATTCAGCCTTTTAAAATAGTTTTCAAATAGTTTCATTAGTTCCATCACTGTATCTTCTAGACCAGTGGTTCTCAACCTGTAGGTCACGACCCACAGTATTAGGAAGGCTGAGAACCACTGTTCTAGATTCTTGGAAGCATCTGATCTTCTGTAACACTTCCACATACAACCTAAGTTGTTAATGTTCTTCATTTGGCTGGAATGGTTTAAAGACCACCAATTCTCAGTAGTCACAGGATATAAAGAATACAAAAATGCTACCACATTAGTGAATGGGTATATTTTATCTAATTTGTTAAGGCTCTGAATTATAATGGTCAAGGAAAATTCCAGAAGCTACAGTGAAAACAAGGCCTTTGTTTCAGAGGCTAGTTCCTTGAAGCTAAGAAATTTAAGCTTTAATGGATGTGGAGGCCAGGAGCCTCTGCCAAGATATTTCCTATGTTTTTTAAAGAGCCTTCCAAATTACGTGAACCATGTACTTCAAGTTCCTCCAAAGCAGGTTACTACCTCCCTTTAGCCAGATTTGCTTACTCAAAATGTATTCTTATTTATCTGGGTTTTTTTTTTTTATTATTTAAATATTTTAAGCAGAATCTGAAAATCTTGTAAGATTACCTGCCAGAGCTCAGTAGTCTTCTTGCTACTTCGGAAACCATTTCATTAGGGAGCAGTAACCTTTTTAAAGCTGTGAGTGATTTCCACATCACCTGAGGCAGATTCCAGAGTCCAGCTGGCAAGTCCTGACACCTGAAGGACCCCAAAGTCTATACACCTGCCCAACAGCTCCAATGTGTGACATTTTAAAGACAGTTACAAAATGAGAAAATGTTGACAACCCATAGAACATCAGCAAGTTTATAAGACTGCATCATCCCACCCACCCCCCACTCCCTTTGTTAATATTGATGATTTAGAAAACGGAAAATGCGTTTGCCATTTGAAGTATTGCATTTTAGCTTGCTAAACACCAGGGGGCGGTGTGATACCTTTAAAGAACCAAGCCACACTGGGCAAAACCGAGGGGAGAGGTGTACACGTTTGCCTGTAAGCATACCCTTCCCCCGGCTAATTTTCTGGAATATGAAAAGCAGTATATCATTTTTCCTTATGACACATATTAAGAAGACAACATTTTTTCTTCCTAGAGGATAGCTATCCCTTTTCTTTTGATAATAGATGACTGTATTAAATGTCTTTTCTTTTAATTGATAATAGATGACTACATTAAATGTCTTTAAAATGTATATTAAAAACACAACCATTGATTTCCTTCATACAAGAGGTTTTTTTTATTTGAATATTTACTTTATAGTCATCGTGCACCTCTCCGAAGACAATTTTACTTAATTGAAAGCATAATACACTAGTCTTTTTTAAAACTTAATATGATAGATATAAATATTTCCTAGAGACTACTTGTACTTTATAATAACCCTTTGGGGACTGCCTGGCAGGCTGGACATGCCTTTAAAATAGCATCAGTGGTTAGAAATGATCCCAGGCTGGTCATGTGGTAGTAAGCTATTGTGCTAAATGCTACTTTTTTCTTTTCTTTTCTTTTCTTTTTTTTTTTAGTGGTGTAGCCATGCTGTTTTACTCTGTGTATCATAGAGAAGTGTTTACATGACCCACTATTTACTGCCTTTGGCCGTAACTACAACATAACCTTCAAAGATTAAATTCTCCTAATATTAAGCTATCTTAATACCATCTCCAAATGCTATTTTACAGCAAGAGGAAATTAAAATGTAGAAGCACCTCGGCTCTCAGTTTACAAGGAATCACTTTTCAGCTGTCTCCTCCAAGCTTCAGAGTAATCCCTACTCACAGGGCTCCTTGATGGCTGCACAGTAAATCACAGATTACCTTGACAGTTTTATTTTTGAAACTAAGTAATCCTGCCAATATAATTCTTTAAAGGTTTGTTGGAGTAAGAAAGCACATTTTGTGTGATCCTCTGTTTTGAATTAGAAATAAAGTGTAGGAGTTTAAACAGGTGATAAATACATTTGTCAATAGTTTTTCGATGAGGCCCGTTCCTCTCTGTCTTCTCTCGATTCGGGGCTGGCACCGTCTGTCTGCTTCTGCCCTTCTGTGCCCCTGTGTTTCATAGTGTAGGGGGTTCCCTTGTACGCTCACAGCCACTTTAGGACCCACAGCCTGTGGAGTCCTGACCTCTACTGGGTGTCCTTACATGGAGGAATAGAACAGAGAGTTCTCAGAGATTAAAAAGGATACATGGTGTTTAGAGTAATAGGGAAGAAGAATAAAAGTCTTTAGGCAAAGACACGGAGCTGAGGGCATCAGGAAGAAGGTGGTTGGGGGTGTTCCAGAGAAGAGCAGAAGAAGATCTTAGAAGCTGCCCAGAGCCAGGCTGGGGCAGGCTGGGCCATGAGGAGGAACCCTGTCCCAGCACTGGTGACTGTTGTCATATACTTCAACTTTTTAAGAATAGTCAGAAATCCAGATTTTCACAATAAGATCACTATTTCTTATATTTATAAAATAATTTAAAAATTTTCAAAATACATTATACTCCAAATAGGCTGAATTTGGGGATGGCCAAAAGAGGGCACCATGAGCATTTTGAAAACAATAGCTAATATGCATCCAACCCTGCCTGTTTGTGTTTATTTTCCCACTCCATCCTTACCCCACGTGGGCTGTGAGGAAGTCACAGTGGTAGATTTTGACTGCCCATATTAGTTTCTATTTTGGTTTATTCCAAAACCCACTTTCCTTTGGGGACTCGCCAACTCTCAAGACATGAGCTTTGTAACTGGGTTGACCATGTAGGAGCCCAAGATTACCCTTGAAGCTACTGAGAAAAAAGCCCCCTCCTCTATCTGGAGCGTCTCAATGGGTGGGATGTACCCAGACCTGGCAGTGGCCTCTTTGTTGAGATGTTGGGGGAGCCCATGTGAAAATGAAGCGATTATGGAGAGCGGAGCTTCCTGCAAAAGAAAGGCAAGATGCCTGGTGACCTCCCTCAACCACCGGGTCTTGTTGTGCCCAAGCACGTTACTCCATGGGTGTTTCTGACACACGATCCAATGGAATCTTTTTAAATACACAAATTAGTTTGAGTTGGGTTCCTGTTACTTACAAGCAAGAGTCCTGACCAAGTCTCAGGGAATGAGAAGGGCACTAACCATCATCCTCAACCCTCAGACCAGATCCCCATCTGCCCATTATATGGGGCTTCCCCCTTATGGTTCATCAAAAGGCAAAAACAGACAAGCAAGATATCAGATACCGGCCTGGGTGGGTTGGGTAGAACTCCTATTAGTTTTAGATGTTCATTGAGTTTTCTATGGGCAGCTAAGTCTCGGCCTAACAGATTATGTCATGTTTTCATTATTTGGTGTCTATCCCAACCCTGTACCCTGACATACATTTGCCTAAATATGGTAAAGCAAGTTTTCCCAGGAACTGCCCAGTTCTCCAGCTACTTCCCTTCCTCGTGACTTCACTCCCTGCTTTGATTAATGATCCCCTCTGCATCCTGGACTTGAGTTCTCCCAGATCTCCCTGCAGGTCTCTCCCTAACACCTCTGACCACCTTGGCTGTGAAGGACCCCACCCTCCTCATGGGTGAGAACATGAGCAACTTGAGTTCTGGATCCGTAACACCCTTTTCTTTCTGAGGCCTGAGAAGGTGCCTCAGAAATAATGCACACGAGGGGTTATTAAGTCTGTGAAGGAGAATAGTAGACCTGAGATTATTAATATGAAATTCTCAGAAAGAAGCATATCAGATCAGGCCCATCAAAATCTCTTTTTCAGCAAGTTCCCTTCTGTGGTGGCAGTGAGCTCTCCACAGCTCTGGGAATATCGTAAGCAGGTGGATTAAAAAATGTATTCTTCTAACATTGTATCCAAAAAGTAGCTCAAAGAAAGGAGAGCTTTACATCATGAGGACGTACATTGAGAGTAATAGAGGATCTTGCTTGGTTTACATCTCCTTAGCTGTGGGCCTACCTTTGCTTATCCACAAAATGGGAATAACAAGAACTTTTTAACTCTTGAAAGAAGTTAGGGATAATGTACGTAATTCACTTTGCTCCAAACTTGACAGATAGAGGTCCTAGATAAATTATTATACTTACCTAAGAAAAGGACATATTAAACACTTTTATGTATTTTAAACTAATGTGCACTAATATACATTGTTATGATAAACTGTATCCGTATGGATCCTCGGTGTCAATATTTTATTAGCCCAAGTAACGTAAAAATACATTTGGTGAATATATACAAGGAGAAATGACTTTCTTGGACTTTCTCATTGAAAGCTCACTACAGCCCTACAAGTCACGTGAGTGTTTTCATTTTACAGAGAAGAGCTGAGGCCCAGAGAGC